ACCCCATCCCCCCACCCCCCACCGCGAGTTTACCTCAGAACCACCCCGGCTGCGGCGCCTGGGCCGTGGAGTCCGCTCCGCCGCGCCTCATGGGGCGTGTAGTCCGACCTCCACCCCCGTCTTTCCCGCCCGCCCGCCCGCCCGCCTTCCCCCGCTCACCGGCCTGGGTGGTGTCGCTCAGGTCGTGGCCGGCCGCGCTGCCCCGCGGATAGTCCCTCAGCTTCCTGCCGCTGAGGCTGAGGGCGCCGCTGGCCGCCGCCTCCTCCAGCGCCCGCTCCAGCGAGCGCGTCCACGACGACGGGCCCGCCGCGCTGCAGCCCCCCGTCGCCAGGCTCCCGCTCGCCGCCGCCGCCGCCGGCATGAGCACCGCGGAGCCGCCGCCGCCGCCACCACCGGAGCAGCCGCCCTCAGCCGCCGCCGTCGCCGCGGCCGCCGCCATTTCCCCGCCCCCCGCTCTGCGCCTGCGCCGAGGAGGGCGGGCCGGCGTGAGGGGGAGAAGGGCGGAAAACGGCCTCCCGCGCGGAAGGGCGCCTGCGCAGAGCGGCGAGGTGCTTCCCGTTTTCCCCTGGCGGGCCTCCAGGCTTCTGGGAGTCGTAGTCCAGAGAATAGAATAGAATTTAATTCTTGATTGGCCAGCTAATCCGGGCCGGAAACTAATCAAGGAAACTAATCAAGGAGAGAAGCAATCTAGACCTAAGGAGAAACTTCCTGACATTCAGAACAATTAACCAGTGGAACAACCTGCCTCCAGAAGCGGTGAATGCTCCAACACTGGAGGTTTTTAAGAAGAGACTGGACAGCCATTTGTCTGAAATGGTATAGGGTTTCCTGCCTGAACAGAGGGTTGGACTAGATGACCTCCAAGATCCCTTCCAACTTTATTATTATTAGTAGTATTATTAGTATTATTATGTGTGATTGAACCCACGGTGTGTATAAGTGTATATATAACCAAGAAGTGATAAATCATGATCAGAAAGCTGGGGAGAGAAAAGAGGTAAAATACAGGTGGTCCTCGACTTACAGCAGTTTGTTTAGTGACCGCTTGAAGTTACAAAGGCACTGAACAAAGTGCCTTACGGCCGTTTTTCACACTTAGGACCATTGCAGCATCCCCGTGGTCACATGATCAGAATTCAGACACTTGGTAACCGACTCATATTTATGACGGTTGCAGTGTGTCCTTGGGATCGTGTAATCCCCTTTTGTGACCTTCTGACAAGCAAAGTCAATGGGGGGGGGGAAGCGTGCTTGGCTGAGGAATTGTGGGAGTTGAAGTCCACAAGTCATAAAAGGGCCAAGTTTGAAGACCCCTGATATAGACCAAAGGGGTAGTACAGGTAGTCCTCGATTTATAACCACAATTTCAATTATTAAGCAAGATAATAACAATAATAGAGTTGGAAGGGACCTTGGAGGTCTTCTAGTCCAACCCCCTGCTCAGGCAGGAAATAGTTGTTTTGGGGGGGATCGTTGTTAACTGAGTTTTGCCCCATTTTACAATCTTTCTTGCCCAAGTTGTTGAGTGAATCACTGCAATTGTTAAATTAGTAACACGGTTGTTAAGTGAATCTGGCTTCCTTACTGACTTTGCTTGTCAGAAGGTCGCAAAAGGGGATCACAAGATTCCGGGACACGGCGACCGTCATAAATATGAGGCAGTTGCCAAGCATCCAAATTTTGATTAGGTGACCACGGGGGATGCTGCAATGGTCGTTAAGTGTGAAAAACAGGTGAATATGTCCACTGTGGCGCAAGACACCCTTAACAAATATCTTAACACAACACAAACTGTTGTGTTAAGATATTTAAAATGTAGCAGCTGGAGCAGTGGCATTTGCGCAGTGAGCCAGAACACACAGTTGTAGTTGATTGGTTGGAGATTGGCCCCCGCGAGAGGCAAACTGTGTTGTGATTGGTTGCTGTGGGTATGGAGGGGGC